AAATCAATGGAAAAAAATATCTTTGGGTGAGGATTAATAACAATAAAAACACTTAGACATGAGATTGCAGGAAAAAAATTTCAATATATATGAAAGAAGGCTAATACTTTAATATATGGAGAGTGTATAAAAATTAATAAGAAAAAACATTTTTAGAAAAATTGACAAAGTATATGCACAGATAATATACAAAAGAAAACATGATGTCTGAAAAATACTGGACTGGTGGGGATTTAAAAACTTGATAATGGCAAGAGTTACCCAGGTTATAGGGAAATAAATATGTTTATATGATTTTGGTAGTAGGATAAATTAATAGACCTTTTTGAGGTGGCTACCTAATATTTTCAAATTTTTAAATTTGCATACCCTTTTTGTTGTTATTGACAGTACTAGAGGCCCAGTGCACAAAATTCATGCACTGGGCAGAGTGTCCCTCAGCCCAGCCTTCACCCTCTCCAATCTGGGACCCCTCGGGGGATGTCCGACTTTCAGTCAGTGGCCTGGTCACCCCCAACTGCCCTCCCCTGAAGGCCTGGTTGCCCCCAACTGCCCTCCCCTGCTGCCCTGGTCACCCCTAACTGCCCTTCCCTGCTGGCCTGAGTCCCCCCAACTGCCCTCCCCTGCAGGCCATCTGTGGCGGTCATCTTGTGCCCAATGGGGCGGCCATCTTGTGAGAGGGCGTGACAATCAATTTGCATATTACCTCTTTATTATATAGGATTACAGATGTCCTCCATTTCCCCCCACCCTTTTTCACTCCACCCAGCCATTGTCATACCCCAGGCCTTTACCACACTACTGTCCATGTCCATGGGCTATGCATATATGCATATATGTTCTATGCTTAATCTCTTCCCAACCCCCAACCCCCTCCCCTCTGAGATCTGTCAGTCTGTTCCATGCGTCTATGCCTCTGGCCCTATTTTGTTCATCAGTTTATTGTGTTCATTAGATTCCACATATTAGATCTATGGTATTTGTCTTTCTCTGACTGGCTTTTTTTGCTTAGCATAATAATCTCCAAGTCCATCCATGCTGTTACAAAGGGTAAGAGATCCTTCTTTATTATAGCCACATAGCATTCCATGGTGAAAATCCACTACAGTTTGTTAATCTACTTATCTACTGATGGGCACTTGGGCTGTTTCCAGATCTTAACTATTGTAAATAACACTGCTATGAACATAGGGATACATATATTATTTCTGATTGGTGTTTCAGGATTCTTAGGATATACTACTAGAAGTGGGGTCACTGGGTCAAACGGCACTTCAATTTTTATTATTTTGAGGAGATTCTATACTGTTTTCCAGAATGGCTGCAGTAGTCTACATTCCCACAAGCAGTGTACTAGGGTTCCCTTTCTTCACATCCTTACCAGCACTTGTTTGTTGATTTACTGATAGTAGTCATTCTGGCAGGTATATGGTGATACCTCATTGTGTTTTAATTTGCATCTCTCTGATGATTAATGACATTGAACATTTTTTCATATGCCTATTGGCCATCTGAATGTCATCGTTGGAGAAGTGTCTATTTGGGTCCTCTGTCTATTTTTAAATTATATTATTTGTCTTCCTAGTGTTGAGTTGAATGAGTGCTTTATATATTTTGGAAATTAACCATTATCAGAGATGTATCATTGGTGAATATGTTCTCCCATACCATGGGTTCCCCTTTCATTTTGTTGATGGTTTCTTTTGCTGAGCAGAAGCTTTTTACTTTGATATAGTCCCATTTGTTTATTTTTTTTCTTGCCCTAAGATATGTATTTGTGAAAATACTTCTAGTTTATTGTCTGAGATTTCCCTGCATATATCTTCTTCCAGGCTTTTTATGGTTTCACAACTTAAATTTAAGACTTTTACCTATTCTGAGTTTATTCTGTGTATAGTATAAGTTGGTGGTTTAGTTTCTTTTTTTTTTTGCATGTACCTGTCCAATTTTCTCAAAACAATTTATTGAAGAGACTGTCTTTACTCCATTGTGTGCTCTTGCCTCTTTTGTGTAGTATTACTTGACCATAAAGATGTGGGTTGATTTCTGGGCCCTGTATTCTATTCCATTGGTCTATATGCCTGTTCTTGTGTCGGTAATAGGCTGCTCTGATTGCAGTGACTTTGTAGTATGGTTTGATATCTGGTATTGTGACTCCCCCATTTTTTCTTCTCAAGATTACTGTGACTGTTGGTGGTCTTTTTTGCTTTTATATAAATTTTTGGAATATTTGTTTTAGATCTGTGAAATATGCCGTTGATTTTTGTGTGTGTTTTTTGTTTGTTTGTTTGTTTGTTTTTGTTAATCCTCATTCGAGGATATTTTTTCCATTGATTTTTAGAGAGTGGAAGGGAGGGAGGGAGGTGGAGAGAGAGAAAGGAACATTGATTGAGAGAGACACACCAGGGCGGGTGATCGAATGTGCAATCCAGCTATGTGCCCTTGAACCCACGACCCTTCAGTGCATTGGCTGATGCTTTAACCACTGAGCAACACCAGCCAGGGTGCCATTCATTTTTTAACAGGGTTTGCTTTGAATCTATAGATTGCTTTGGGTTATATATATGTTTTAATAATGTTAATTCTTCCAATCCATGAATACAGTATATGCTTCCACTTGTTTGTATCTTTCTCGATTTGTTTTGCAATCTCCTATAGTGTTCTGACTACAGGTCTTTTACCTCCATTAAGTTTATTCCTAGATATCTTTTTTTTTCTTGCAAAGGTAAATAGGATTGTATTTTTAGTTTCTCTTTCTGAGAGTTCATTGCTGGTGTATAAAAATGCCATCAATTTCTGCATGTTAATTTTCTTTCATATTAATTTGCCGAATTCATTTATTAAATCTATCAATTTTCAGTGGAGTCTTCAGGGTTTTCTAATACAATTTCATGTCATGTGCTCATAATACAGTTTAACTTCCTCCTTTCCAAATTGGGTGCCTTTTCATTTTTTGTCTGATCACTTTGGCTAGGATTTCCAGTACTATGTTGAATAAGAGTAGTGAAAGTGAACATCCTGTCTTATTCCTGATCTTAAAGGAAACACTTTTAGTTTTTGCAATTGAGTATGATGTTGGCTATAAGTTTGTCATACATGGCCATTGTTACATTGATACATGACCCCTCTATTCCCACTTTGCTGAGAGTTTTTTTTTAATCAAAAATGGGTCCTGGATTTTGTCAAATGCTTTTTCTGTGTCTTTTGATTTGATTATGTGATTTTTATACTTCATTTTGTTTATGTGATATATCATGTTTATTGATTTGTGAGTATTATACCAGCCTTGAATCCCCCAAATAAATCCCACTTGGCCATGCTGTATGATCTTTTTAATGTATTGCTGGATCCGATTTGCTAATATTTGCTGAGGATTTTAGCATCTTTATTCATCAAGGATATTGGCCTATAATATATTCTCTCTGTGTATTGTCTTTATCTGGTTTTGGAATTAGGATAATGCTAGTCTTGTTAAAATAGTGTGGCCTTAGCCAGTTTTGCTAAGTGTTTAGAGCATTGGCCCAAGGACTGAAAGGTCACAGATTCGATTTTGGTCAAGGGCATATACCTCGGTTGCAGGCTCAATCACTGGCCCGGGTCAGTGGGGAGGCAACCAATCAATGTGTCTCTCTCACATGGATGTTTCTCTTTGTCTCTCCCCTGCCCTTCCACTCTTTTTAAAAATCAATGGGAAAAATATCCTCAGGTAAGGATTAACAATAACAACAAAGAAAAGAATGTGGATGTCTTCCCTCCTCTTGAATTTTTTGGAGTAGTTTGAGGAGGATAGGTGTTAGTTCTTCTTTGAATGTTTCATGAAACTTGCTGTGAAGCCTTCTAGTCCAGTACATTTGTTTTCTGGGAGTTTTTTAAATTACTGCTTCAATTTCATTAGGTGTTATCAGCCTATTAAGGTGTTCTGATTCTTCCTGATTGAGTTTTTGCGTGTTTCTAGGAATTTGTCCATTTTGCCTA